GGGACACCATTTCTATAAATTTTTAACAATGAATTTAAACAATTTTAGTAAAAAATGATAATTTTTTTTATAATGTAGACAATGACAGTCTATGTAAAAGTCAAGTTATTAATCAAGGGTTGTATCATAAATATATATGATATCAACTATGATGAAAACTTCATAATAACTTTTTTTTTTCTTTATTTTGCAAGGTTTGTTTTGTTATGTATTCATGATTTCAATTCACATTATTCTGTCTCTTATTTTTTATTATTTGAGATAAAACAATTTAGCACATGAAACGAAAGTCTAAAATCACACACACACACATAGCACAAGAGAAGATTATTCACAACATAATAGAGCGAGTTTCTTAATAGAACTTTTTATTTGACACACTCGAGCACTAGACCTTTATATAACATATTTGTATATCTGCATTAGATTAATACATATATACTTACACATATAAAAACATACATAGCTTGCTCATTTACTTAATTGAGTATTTGGCAATAAAATTCACTGTTAATTCAGCTTTTTAAAGTACCAAATATATTATTATAATATTAAAAAATAATTTCAGTTTTTAAAATTAATTTTAAATAATTAATAATAAAAAATGTTAAAAATATATCTTTTACAATTTTATAATTATATTATAATTAACATGCTTTAATACAAAATTATAATTTTAAATACTTAAATCTAACTTTAAAGACTGATAATCTTAGACTAACCAAAAAAAAAAAAAAAAAACTCTTCACTTTTTTCAATAATAATTGTACTAACCAAATTAAAATCCTATCAAATTTTTTGAAAAAATAGCATTTATAAATCAATATTCGTTTTATAAAAAAATTTATTAAAAATAATAATAATTTAAATATACTCACATTTTTAACCCCGGTTTATTTTCTATTTATCATTATAATAAATCAATTTTTTTTTTCGGTTACTCGCTTATAGACCATCTTCTCAATTATAAAATAGCTAATCAATTTATAAATAAACTTGCTAATATGAGATGTAACTAATAAGTAAAGATTATGGTTTATGATCAACCACTGGCTCAACGAGAAATGTTATTGCGATAAAATGTGTTAAGAGTTTGTATTCTTATAGTTACTTTTGTCTATTTTTTTTCTTCTTTAAGCATTAAGTTAAATCCCTACTAATTATAAAAAAAAAAACATTATAACTTATTTTTTAAAAATAAATAATTTCGTATAAATCATTCACTTCACAACGCCTTTTATGTTTCTTTTCCAGCCCCCTTTTTTTATATTAGCTTTTTATAATGTTTTATATTTTTACCAAACGACAATGCCTATTTCTTCAATAATTTGATGTATTCGAAAAACAAAGGTTAAAAACTAAGAAATAAGAAAGTATTTTATAATAGTATATTTATTTTTAAAATAATTATTCACGAAATTGCCTTCTTTAACATATTTACATATATAAGAAGAAAAATATTAATATGTTTTTAACATGCTTTTATTTATTAAATAAAATTTATTAAAAATAAAAATAAAAAACTTATATAATTTTAGTAAATTTCTACTAATAATAAATAATTTTTTAAAAATGTGTTATCAGCATTTTTTATACATATATAAATTACAGAATGTGAAAAAAATATATACATTAGGTGTAAAGAAAAATAGTTTGATTTTAAAAACATTATGAATATAAAATTATTTATATTATTAACTTATTATTGTAAAAATATATTTTAGAATAGTTATTATAAAAGTTAACTATTCTCATCACGTGCAAAAAAAATTAATTAAATAATATTATGAAAAATTATATCCGTTTAAATTCATAAATGCATCTTGCACAAAAAAAAAATATTAATATCAAAATTATAAAATATATCACAAAATAAAAAAAAACTTGTTATTTTTATATACAAGATGAATATTTATGAAGATAAATAATGTATAGTTTAGTATTACTTTTAACCTTATAGCAATAAATATTCATGCCATACAAAAGATTGAAAACATGATATCTGTATTATATTGTATATCATATATATTATATTTTAAATATGTTTATTTATATAAAATAATTATATGAAAAAAGTTATCTAACAAGGTATTTTTATTCTTTGTAAGCAATAATGCGACGCCCCGCAAGTACACTGAGAACTGATTGAGTCCATAGTGCTGCTTAAAAACACTGGTTTTAAGTAGATTTGTTTTCCTTGTAGGACTTGCTGCCACCTCAGATGTATCATCATCGCGCATAGTATTGTTGTCGTTTTGTTCAGTCTTTATCTTTCTCGCTATCATTCTCCCAGTCTTTAGGGGCGTCGCATATTCTGGTACATGCACCCACTGTAACTTTGCCACATCTATTAAATCACTTATTTAATAATTATTATTATGTTATAGATCCACAGAAATTAAGTTATTTCCCAAACACTTACAGAAATTCCTTTATTCAATACTTTTTTTGCAACAATAAACTTTATCATTTTATTCAATAAATAAAATTATATATTTATCTATATTATAATTTCAATAAATTAATTATACATAAATATAACTTAATCTTCGCTTTATACGTATATAATTTTATTAAATAATTTAAAATAAATTAGTCTTTGTTAATAGCTTTTTTAAAATATAAATTAAATTATATATTTTTAGTTTGTACTAAAATATATTAACTTTTCTTGTTTAAGGTTTTCTTCAAAAACAATTTTTATTTTATAATATTTATACTTTAATAGTTCGTGAAAAATTATTAATAGAAATTATATCTTGGTTAATAAATTGTAAGTATTGTGTATAAATATGGATTTAGTTACTCAACAAGCATAGTATAAAGATTAAATTATTATCCAAGTTAGTATGGGAATGGATAATATTCTAACATGTGTAAACTGATAGTATACATCACTGTTTTATAATAATGAAATTATTTGTTAACACTGTACTCTGTCTTAATTTACTTGTTATTTTGTGAAAATTATTTTATTTTACTTGTCTGTTCTATCATTTTAATGAAGAATTGTTTTGTTTTAACTAAATATATTCTTTACAATTAAAGATGACACGGGTGGTTAGGGTAGGAAAAATGATAATTTTATTAGAATTTGATTGTGAGTTTGATCTTACATTTTACATTATGAAAAAAATTGACTTGAAATTATATTTATTGTCTAAAAAATTTTAGTAATTTAAACTAATGATTTTGTTGTTTATATATTATTTAATTTATTAATAGGAGATTTTTATTATTTAATATAGTCTTATAAATTCAATTATTTTTAACTATTATAACTTACATTTTAATTTAAAACATAAATCTGTAATTTACGTTTAAATCTCAATCACATGTTTTACTATTATTAATATTTTTATTTTATGGGCTTATAGTCTTTTTCTTTAGTCCTTTAAATGTCATGTTACAGGTCTTTTATTTTAGCCTTATATATAAAAGTTAGAGCATTTTTTTGGGTCATTTTTTGGGTTTGATATTTTATATTTTGATCAAAATTCTAATATCATATTAAAATTTGAGTATAGACTTAATAAGAAATATATGAGTGAGGAAGCTTAAATTTAAATAATTCATTTATTTTAAAAAAATTAAAAAATTTAAACTTATAACCTTTTTGTTCATGTTACAGAATAAATGAATTGTTTTAAAAAGTATTTTTAAATATTTAAATTGTACAATGAACGTATTGAAAATTTTTTAAATATTTTTTATTCAATGCCCGTTAATACATATTATTAAAATTAATCACCAAAACTAAAAGAAGTTTCGTGTATTTGAGTTGATTTTTTTTACATATTAAAAAATTATGTATTAATTTACTCAAAGAAAGCTTAAAAAATTATGCATTTATGTTTTGATTTTGCTGCATAAAAAACTTTATTGAATAAGCTTAAAAGTAATAATTTTCTTATTATAAATTTATGCTTGGATTAATTGAAAAAATGATAATCAATTAAATATTTTCCTATACTAATAAATTATATCTTTAAATAATAAGCATAATGATTGTTCATATAAAATAGAATTTATATTTAGATATGTCAAGTGAGAAATAATTTGAAATTAAATTATTATGTATGAATTATATAAAATAATTATTTTTACATTATAATATTAGAAATATAAAATTTTGTGTAATAGTTAATTGTATATTAAAACAATTAATTATTAAAGATAAAATAAAAAATAAACAGAAAGTAAAGTATATCTTATAATAAACGATGCTGGAATACTTGTTTATTCCATTTTTTTCCCCTTTCCTTTACTATTGAAATAATCGAGACTCAGTGTCTCTTGTACCAAAATCCTAAATACAAATAAATAGTAATTTTCAAACCTTTAAAAAATAGCATTAATCCAAAAAACACGGTGTGATCTATTTTCAGATTCACATCTAAATACACGCTAAACTAGTTATTTAAAAATAAATAAATAAATTTAAAAATTTAAAAATAAATAAATTATTATTTTTAAATTTAAAATAAATAAAAATTTAATCACCTACAGTAAAAAAGTATAATCAACATTTAGTAAAGTATAATTAAAATAGATTATTTTAAAATCAATTTTTGTTTAACATATATAAACATAATTTTATATATAATTAATTATTTGTAATTAATCATTAAAATGATTTTTTTATTTAATAATTTTTCATCAATCTAAACACAAACTTAACGCGATAGTAGAATTTTGAGCTCTGATCATTTGTCTGTTTGGTAGTGTAATCGGAAGTTAAAAAATTAAAATCCAGCATGAATACAATTTATCAATTAATTTAAAATCTATTTTTCCGGATAATGAATCAGGTGATCTATTTGAAGGAAGCCAGCTGGGGCAAGGGCATAATAGTAACAACACACTCTTCTTCATTTACCGACATCCAATTCTGAGTGAGAGAGAGAAAACAAAATACATATAATAATTATAATAATAATAATAATAATAATGTTATTGGCAGGACAAACTTAAAAAAGAAAAAAGAAAAGGCATAGTTTGCATTCATCCAAAACAGAAGCATTCGTTGTTCCTTTGAGTCTGAGAGATGTGTGGGGGTGCTATTATCTCTGACTTCATTCCCGCGGCGGTGACGGCGAGGTCTCGACGCCTGACCGCGGATTACCTGTGGCCGGACTTGAAGAAGCCGAGCTCAGGGAAATCCCTGAGATCTGAGGTCATTGACTTGGATGATGAGTTTGAGGCTGATTTCAGGGAATTCAAGGACGATTCCGACATCGACGATGCCAAGCCCTTTACTTTCGCCGCCTCTTCTCGTCGTAACTATTCTATCTCTTATTTCTTTCTTATCCAAAATTTTCACTGTTAGTTTACTCAATTTGCCCCCTTTTATTTTTGTCGATATTTGGAGCATTTTTCTTTTTCCCTTAAATTTTGTTTTTGGCAATGGAAGTTGCTTTTATTTATCACTGTTTCATATGATTTTCTGGGCCCACAGAATAAAAATAATTCTAATACGTGTTTTTGGTTTATGGAGTTGATCATAGCTTATCTGTTTTTTTATAAAGATCTTCGTTACAGATCTCGGGTTGTTTTCTGGAATAATTTGTTTTTCGGGTAGTTAGATGGAACGGTTAAATTTAGGAGTGTGGGAATGGGTGTTTATCCATTATTCATTCAATAATTCACTTTTTGTTGATTTTAGTACCAGGATGAGTTTTTGGATTCTGTTGAAATGATAGATGCATAAGAATCATGTTTAATTTCATCATGCTGTTGTGTTGTTATTACTAGCTGGTCGTTTTTCTTATGAACACACCTTTGCAACTGCTCTTTGTCGGTATGGAGGTACTTTGGTGGCAACCATCATCATTACTGAACTAAACAAGAAGTAAAATGAACTTTTAGTTGATACTTGTTCTCGTTAACTCCTTTGCTTAAGATTCTTGCTGATTTCATTTAACCTTGTTGTGACTTCTATGTTTTTAGGGAGAGTTGGAAAAATGGTTTATTTGCATCCTCGTTTTGATTCTGAATGTCTGGTGTTCTTAACTTACTGAGATTTGTATACTTAAATTATATTAAAGGATCTACGGCAGTGAAACCTGTGACATTCAAAGGGCAAGCTGAGAAATCTGCAAAGAGAAAGAGGAAGAATCAGTATAGGGGAATCCGTCAGCGTCCTTGGGGGAAATGGGCAGCTGAGATCAGGGATCCAAGAAAGGGGGTGCGTGTTTGGCTTGGAACCTTCAACACTGCTGAAGAAGCTGCTAGAGCTTATGATGCTGAAGCGCGGAGGATTCGTGGCAAGAAAGCCAAGGTGAATTTTCCTGAGGAGTCTTCAGGTGCTTCCTTAAAACGTTCTAAGGTATATCGACAGGAAAATAGGAAAACTGTTCAGCCGTGCAATGTTGGTTATAGTGGCGAACCCTACTGTTGTCCTATGGATCTGGTGGAACAGAAACCCCTAGTTAACCAGAATGCTGACGCGTACACCTTCCCTGGCAGTGTAAATGGGCTTGCATCCCTTGCTTCGTCTGATGATGTGACCCTTTACTTCAGTTCAGAGCAGGGGAGTAATTCATTTGATTATGCAGATCTTGGATGGGGTGAGCAGGGCCCCAAGACTCCTGAGATCTCATCCATGCTTTCTGCTCCCTTGGGTGGTGAATCCCATTTCGTGCAAGATGCCAACCACCAGAAAAATGTGCAGTCTGAATCTCAGGATGTAATACCTGTACAAGATCATTCTGCAAAAACCCTGTCTGAGGAGCTTGTGGATATTGAATCCGAGTTGAAGTTCTTTCAGATGCCTTATCTTGGAGAGAGTTGGGATGATACTTCATTGGAATCCTTGCTATCTGGAGACACAAGTCAGGATGGTGGAAATTTGATGAACCTTTGGAATTTTGATGACATTCCTTCCATGGCTGGTGGGGTTTTCTAAGCAGCTTTTTCTTGATTTCCGTCTGTAAATAAAGCTACAAGTTAATATTTTTCATTATTAATTTTGTTTTTGTTGCATTTGTTGCTCTCTTGTTGGAGTTGGACACATCCCTGAAAGTGTCTGAAAAAAATAGAATGTTATTTCCATTTTGTTGCTTTCCGCGGAATGGTTGTCATCTGTGTTGAACGGGAGAGTGTAAGCAACTGCTGATGCTGTGCACTCTGAGTAGCATTGAGAAATTTTGAAGGATGAATTCTCTAAGTGAGATGGTCAAATCTAAACTTCCAAGAAAACCATTAAAGAAAAAAAAGAAAAATAAAAATTAAAAGAAAAGAAGGATATACAAGTGCATAAAAGAAGAGGACGTGGTATATTAGCTGTGTGTAATCAGTATCACGTGGGAAATATTAGCTTTGGCTGCTTGTGCATGTAACACGGTCAATGGCGCTTCCCAAATATGACTGCCACATGGTTGGTCAGGTCAAGAATGTAAAGTGCATTCGCTCTAACATTTAGTTGTTGCTCCGTATACCAAATTTAATTAGGTTAGGTGTGGACAATGTGCATTTATCAATGTTTAATTCTTTTGATTAGAAAGGTTGGCTTTGGACTTGGTCGTGATTCAAGATTGTACCTCGACTTTAAAAACGCGTCTATCTTTGGGAGCTTACTGCAGGTTCAACCACCTGATTCAGTCCTATGCAAACTGTTTGGGCTGAATTCTTTTTCAGTTATATTTATTTTACTTATCTATCTAATTCGAATTTATAAATAATAATTGTAAATAATTTATTCAATGGAATGATTTTAAAAACTTAAATTAACTTTTATCTTAAAATTTAAAACTATTTGTTAAAATAGATCAATGCTTATTTTTAAGCCACATATTAATTAACTTAAAATAGATTTAATAATAAGAATAGGTTGGTTGTGACATTTTTGGGCATGCGGACCAGCTTACTTACTACAGGCTAAGGGTTTGTTTGCGGGCCTCTCGAAATTGATTTTAGTCATAGCGGAAGCAGTTCAACACGCATAGTAATTTGCGTCAAAACAATGGTAGCTGTTTCTTTTGGTCAAGAATTGTAGCTGTTTTTCTTATGTTGAAAAGTGCATCGTAGTGACTGCATGGACAACTAAACAAGCTCAAAGCTCATGTCGAACTTGAACTTATTTTGACACCTATATTCATAATCGAGACTATTATTTCCCTCAGTTAGAGATCATCGGGAGTAATGAGTTAGATTGAATAATTTTTTAATAAGCATTTCTATGAGAAAAAATAAAATGAATTAAAAAGGTAAAATAAATAAAACTTCTTATACAAGTTAAAATTAATTTATATACCTCAACTTTTTTAGAAACTTCATTTAACTTCTTCATGAACAATTGAACTTGTCAGATTTTAACAGTTCTTTTGGTCAACACCCTTAGAAAGAATCTTAATAGTTGAGTTTTACAGTTGAAGAGTTCAAAAGATTGAAAATTAATCTATACTGGGCCTTAATGCTGTCTGCGGACAGCCACGTTTATAGATCTTTTTGACCAATGACATTATAGAACTTGTAAGAGGCAGTATGGCAATGTGTTCAATAATTTTCTGTTAAGGTTGGTTAGGAGGAGATGGAGAAGTTTACCAAATTAGAGTTCTTACGTGTTCGTATTCAAGACTGCATTGCGTGCAAGACTAAAGTGACGTGAATATTAACAATGATACTATCATATAGTGCTTTCTCTGCAAGAAAGTGGCAAAGAAATTATAACTTATTATTCATAAGGATTTATAGTTACACGTACTGTTTGAGGTATGTATTAAACTTCGATTATTGAAGACAATTGTAACAAAGGTTAGAGTATTACTATTATCGAGGTTCAGGTACAGGCCCTCGGTTCTCTCTCTATCTCTTTCTCTCTAACAGCCTCCGAAAATATACTCGTTCGTTGAATGCTAATATAAGCCTAATTGATTATTTAAATATCACAACACTTCTAATATTATAGTTGAACTTCTTTACCTCACGTTAAAGTTTTACGATCTCTGATAAGCATAAACTAAGATTTTTAGCTTAAGAAATTAAGCTGAAATTTGAAAAAAGCCGTTGTTAGGCTATTTTGCAAGCTAAAACAGTATAGTCGTGAGGATCAGCTCACGAGATTGCTCATGTTCAACGTTACTTCTGCTTTACTGCGTTCGATATTTAAACGAGGATCACAATGTGTCTCCTGAAAAAATCTATTGTTAATTTATTCATTATAAAAAAATTATTTTCTAAAAAAAAAAATTATTGAATATTAAGACGATGTGTTGGCATTCCTCGTTGGTATATAACGGAAGTGAAGCCATCATTTGTCTTGAGTATCTTACTAGTCCTGTTTTTGTTAAGATTTTTTGGACAAAAATAGTTGCTTTTGGCACAGGTTTTCTCCTCAAAAGGTTTTGGTATCAAATAATTTAGAAAGGAATAACTGAGCGCCACTTTTCAAAGAAAGACATCCCATTCGTGATTCGTCCTTCACGATGAAGTAGTACCGGTTAATTATCAATCTAAGCGAATCAAAGAGATGCATTAATTATACAATGGTTAATTAACCGAAAGTCAGGAATGAAAATTTGCTATGGATGTTTCCCCCCATAATTCCGATTGCTTCTGTTGGAAAGAATTTCATCACGGGTTTTCTTTCAAGAAATGCTGTTTCTTTCTGCTTATCTTCCTTTTGATCACATGCATAGTTGTTGGATTAGCCACATTTTTTGTGATCCTCATCATTAGACCACACAAGCCTGTTTTCTCTGTTCGAGAGTTTAAAATAATTTTTTACGAGATTGAAGATCGTTCTAATCAATCACTGTTGTTTTCATCGGTAATCTCCTTAACCCTCAATGCGGAAAATCATAATAAGTTTGGCGTAGGTTTCAGTTCATCAAGGTTTCTTGTTTATCAAGAAGGTTTGCGTATAGGAACTATTCGAATTCCTTGGTTTTTTCAACCTCCTCATAGTGATAATGTAAGTGTACCATCTCGGGTCTTATTGCAATGTGTCAATCTACAAGAAATTTCAAACCAGAATACCGCATGCTTGAAGATCGTAGGGGATGCTAGAGCCCACGTGTGGGTACTTCGTATAAAACTATTTGATATTAAGGTTAGTTCTACATTTTCTTTCTTTCCTTTTTTTTTACTCTCTTCAGTTTTTTGGAGTTAAATGTATTTTGGGTTGAAATAATTTCAATTTAAGATCTCTCCCCTATCATATTAATATTTATTGTTTGTAAATGTTGATAACAATTTAATATGTTAACTATATATCATTGAAGGTTAGACAATGAATATTAATAAAGATTGAAGGAAAATGAGGAATAAAATAATCATGTTAAGTTTTTGTGAAGAAGATGCACTTTGAACTTAACTTAAAATTATTAAATATATAAAGTTAAAATTTAGTGAGATAAACAAACAATTTCATTAGTTTTTATTGTTAGGGACTAAAGAAGTATTATACTTAAATCATAAAGAAAATAATTACGCATTAACCTAAAATGTTACCAAAGAAGTTTTGACTTCTGTTTATATTGATTTATATATTATCACGTGTAAAATTTAGCATACTTATTATTTAAGTATCTACCAATATCAACTCGAGCTATACATTGATAAAGGTGGAAAGAATCTTATTTCCTGATTGTAATTTTGTAGATTGCACTAGATTGTGGTATGAGTTTTAATTTAAGAGAGCTTGCTTTCACAAATGAAGTTTACAGTGTCAAACGCATTGAGAGTGAGTTGGTATATATTAATTTGCTGTACTTCCTCGATTATTTTCTTTCTTTTGTAGGCTTAGTAATATACCTATAACATTTTCTTTCAGGCTTCTGTTCTCAGTAAATCCAAAGCCATCTCTATGAAATGCGCTTCGTCTGTCTACATGTAATCCTCTTCCCATCACTAAGTCAAATACACGTCAATGTGAATGTGTAAAGTTAAACAACTCTCATCACTTGTGCTTTTTCCTTTCGGCTTACTTGTTTTTATAGTTCCATCCTTTTCCTGTGGCTGTAATTCACATTTAAGTTAAAAGCTTGTAATGTTTAATTTCCTTGTATAATACTTTGAAATCTAGAAAGTGATCTGCAGAATGACTCGTCGCCCATTTCTTTTGACTGCTAAGCTTGCTTTAATCGAAAATCAAGGCTTTCAAGATTGAAAGATGATATGCATTAGTCAAACTCATAAGTATCATTCATTCCTATTATTTTTTTTTTGGTCTGTCTGTATGGTGCCACTTCTCTTCTGTCGTCACGACCAAAAGGAGACACAGAAAAATCGACACATACTTTTGAGCCAAAGTAATAAAGTGAAGCATTGAGAGATAATAGGAAGGTTGAATACACCAAATTAAGAAACACATAAACTCACACAGACGCCTGAAACGCTGTTCAACTACTCAAGAGGTGCGTTTTAATATCAGTGATAATAGGGCTTTAACTGTTTCTTAACTACAATTAATCGCTGATTAGTGGGTTAAAGTGTGAATGCAAAATGTACCATTCATAATTACGTATATGTAATATCTCAAACATCACTCATGAAACAATATATTTCATTTGATTGATTTTAGTTTAAATTACTACTTCTGAAAAAATAAAAAAGATAAAAAAATAAAAAATCCTCGATATTTTAAATTATTCTTAGGATTTGTTTGATTTAGTTTTGATTTTTAATTTTTAAAAATTATATTTTAAAATAATTTTATAAAAATGTTTTTAAAAAATAAAATAAATTTTGTTTGATAATTTAATTTTTAAAACCGTTTTTAGTTAAATTTTTGTTAGTTTTAGAAAGAAAATCAGAAAAATAAAAACAAAAACACTTAAATAGTAATTCTGTCTTTTAATTTTAAAAACAAAATAAAAATTAATTTTCAAAATAATTTTTAAAATTTATATTAACAAGTAAATTTTTTTTATTTTAAAAACTAAAAACTCTATTAAAATAGAAAACACAAACAAGCTCTAAATATGCAACTCCCGAGTCATTTCTTTCTATGAAATATTAAGAATTTTTTTCCTATTCAACTGGGTAATATTAAATCTGGCTAAAACCGTAAATAGTGAACATCCTAATTTTTCATGCCCTGAGAATTCAAGGTTTGTTTATTTGTTTAGTTGTTTTTTGGTAGATGTTTATTTATTTAGTTTAAAGAATGTAATCCAACCTTTATTGGAAATTATATCAAATTATACATTCTTAAACAATTCAATCTAACTTTAACTATTTTAATTTTTTTTTCTTATTTGT